AAAAAAAAAAAGATAAGTAAAATGAGCCTTTTCTCAAGTACTAACTGCACTGACAACTGGAGAACAGAAAGGCCAGTCAAGGTTAATTCTAAACCTGACCTGGACCTGGTATAAGGGCCTGACAAGCCAGTGCTGCTGAAATCCTCCCCAAGTACCCACCAGGTATGTCCCCTATGCTCTGACTGTGGTTTACCATAGCTGTCTGCGCCATCCTCTCTGTGAGCCCTTTGAAAAAGAAAATGCCCTGCACCTGGGACTATCCCCTCCCCCATTCTCAAAGGAAATCCCAGATCCAGCAACTCAGCTGACAATCCAGAGTGCTGGTCTATGGCTCCCTCTGCTGTCGGATGTGAGGAACTGACACCAACAAAAGCGCAGGGACCCTTAGAAAAGATAAACACACACCCATTAAACATATAGGAAGCCTTTAATTTCGTCACCATAAACATTAGACTCTGATTGCTCACGTAAAGTATAAAATATTTACTCGGCTAAATAAATAAGACATAACATTATTGCAAACGGCACTTAAACCCCTGAGAGCTAAGAGCTCCTTGGCTCTTGCAGGGGGTGCTCCTGAGTTTGTGTAGATTCCAGATGTGCCCTGGGGACTGAGATGGACAAAGGCTTGAGGAATCACACTTGTGCTTCTGGTCCTGCAATAGCCCCAAAGAGAATATTGGAGCCCATGGGGGTGAAGGGGGGTCTTAACGAAGTGGGGGACAGTGACTTCATTGGGCCTGGACCTCCAGGAAGAAGAGGGAAGTCAGTGAAGCCAGGTTGGGTTGTGAGGAAAAAAGGGGCTAAAGATGCTGCTGAGACTTGCTGGACCCCCTCCATTCTCCCTTAATACCACAGCCATGGGTAACAGCATGTGGGAATAGAGCATCCTAGGCCTTGGGCTAGGAAGTGTGGGGCAAGCCTGTTATCCACGGAGAAGGGCATCTGGCAATGGTCAGCCCCATGAGAGAATCCAGCATTCCCAGCTCCTAGAAACCAACCCAGAAGAGCTGGGAATGGATTTTCTTCTGCTTTGTTAAATAAATAAGTTAAATATTTAAAGGCCCATGTCCTCATGATGGCAACCCAAAGACCAACAAGCCAGGTCCTGATAAAAGGCTGGATGCAGGGGAAGCTGCAGAAAGGCAAATCCTGTCCAATCCTGTCGCAAGGACAAACGCGGCGGAATCTGCAGGAAATGTGGGCTTATCAATGGGGAAGTTTATTCACCTGCCCACAAATTCCTTCTCTAGGCGGGTCTCAACCAGGAGCTAGCTGTTCAAGTTAATGCCCAGCCAAGGCAGTCCACCTGCAGAGTCCTGCATTCCAGTGCATGGAGCTAATCAAATGCCCTGCCTTTCTAGCCTCTCTGCAGAAGACCAGACTGAAATCCACTTGGGAACCTGCTAGTTCAGCCAGCCATAGAGATCAGGAAGTGGAGAAAAGGGAAGTCCCAGTCCCCATCTGTGCAGCTATACACCTCACTGCCACCGGGTGGCAACAGAGAGCTGCACCACTTTGGCAGTATTGGAAATGAAGGCCAGCCTGGCAGCCCTCCTGGGGGGTGGAGACCCAGTCAAGCAGGACCTCCACTCAGAATGTCCCGACATTCTACACCGAGTATTTGGCCAAGTCGCTCTTGTCAAATACTACCTGTGTAGCGAAGTAAATAGCGACCAGACCCAAGCCTGCAGCCGACACCATGTAGGCAGTGACGGTTTGGCTGAGTTGGACAATGGAGCCCATAAACAGAGACGGGGCCACCTGGGACAGCAGGAAGGCACTGTCCAGGATGGCAAGGTCCAGGCAGATGCCTCGGCCAGGAATGACCCTGGCCTCGATCGGTTCTACCACCACCACTCGCATGGAGACATCGCAGGCGGAGGCCCCACAGAGCACTGGCGGAGCTGGTAGCAGGCCACCGGCTCCAGCACCCACGTGGCCATTGGGGAAGGGAGCACCCGATTTGGGGCCCGGCAGGAAGCTGGTGGTCAGGCTGTCCTCACTGCTGCCACCTCCAGCATCCCCTCGATATTTGGGCAGGAACACCTGCGGGGTGGAGGTGAAAAAGAGGGGTAAAGCCGGGTGTGGACTTGGGCATTGGAACCCCAGTTGTAACAACAGGCCCTAACTCCCTCCGTGCCAGGGGCTGGAAACCAGAGGGCTTTCATAGAAATCAGGAAACAGGCAAGGTGGCTCATGCCTGTAATCCTAGCTACTCAGGAGGCTGAGACCAGAGATCAGAGGAGGGAAGTTCAAAGCCAGACTGGGCAAGAAAGTCCGTGAGATTCTGATCTCCAATTAAGTACCAAAAAGCCAGAAGTGGAGCTGTGGTTCAAAGTGATAGAGCACTCAGCTTGAGCAGAAAAGCCCAAGGACAGTGCCCAGGCCCTGAGTTCAAGCCCTAAGACCGGCACCATAAACTAAAAATCAGGAAACTGAAGAGACTTTGCTTGGTTTGGAAACTCGAATCTAGTTCTCCTCTAGCTTTTCCTGGGAAAGGCAGGAAGCAAACGCAGGTGGGAAGAGCAGGAAGAATGAGACAGCAATGAGAAGAGAGGCAATCCATGTGGGGAGCTTATGATGGCCCAGACACCCCCACAGCCCACTGCTGTCTGGCCCTCTGACTATGTGGACATCTTTATGGCCCTGCAGTCCCACGCCCCGGCTGGGCTGCTGCCTGCAAGGAGCTCTTGGGCTTCAGCCTTGGGCCAGGGTGAATCTAGCAGCTGTGCGGAGGGGGGAGGGGGGAGGGAGGAACAGCAGGGCTCCCCCATCCCCTCCTCCTCTGAACTTCCTCCTCACCTCTGTCCTGCCTCTGTGGCCTGGGGCCTCCTGTTGAAGGACAAGGCCAGGCCTTACCCTGCACTGTCTGCCTTGCTAGACGGTGTCCACCAGGGGGCTGAGGGCATGGCTGAGCTCCCCGAGCTCATCCTATGCTGTCTAGCTGGCAAAGGGAAGGCAGTGTGCGGAGCCAAGTCTGCCCTCAGCTGTCCTGCAATGGGCCTCCAAGGACCTCACTTCCCCCCTACCCAGGTTAGACCATTAAGGCCAGAACCTGGGGACAGACATGCTCTTCCCTACAGAGAGCTAATTCCAGCCTGTCCCCCAGTAAGACCTCACAGATTTGGGCCTCTGGACACCAGCCTCCAAGCCCCCCCCCCGGCCCCCCATGCCAAAGCAGAATGCTAGGAGACGTGGGTGACAGTTATGGGAGCCACCGTGTTCTCTAGGACCAGGTTCTTTGCACCCAAACCTCAGCCTTGCTTCCCACACCCCAACCCTGCAGCTGACTGTGGAGCAGAGCAGGCTCCTACAAAGTCATCGGCCACCTGCTCAGGTCCTGCCCGGCGCGCACAGGGCTCCTGACACCCCGGGACCCTGTGCAGGCTGGCCCACACCTCTCTCAAGCTGCCGGTGGAAGGGCTCCCCCACAGGGGCCGTTAGGCCGAGCAGGAAGAAGGCCTCAGTTCAGAATGCCCAGCAAAGCAAGCTGGACTCAGGTATCCAACTAGGGTAGGAGAAGGGGCCAGAGGCAAAAGGAAGATGCAGGAAAAGAAAAAAGAGCTAGAAGAGGGCGAGAAACTAGAAAAAGAGGGGCGAGGGGGCTTCTCCTATCTCTGCAAAGTAGGCACAAGGTTGCCTGTCCCGGAGAAGGTGGCAAAAGCCAGGCTTATTCCAGCTGCTACCTGCGGCAGCCGGCTAGGGCTCAGAAGCCATCCATCAGATCCAGACCCTGCCCGGGAACAAGCCAGGCCAGACCAGGGCTTCCGCGTTTCCTGACTCTTTGGGATTCCCAGTGAAGGACTCTGCATTTCCTGCAACCATCCACTCAAGTGCTTTGTAGTCCCACCGCCAGGAAGTGATTCCCAGAATCTAATCTACACTCTTGTTCCGCAGCCGCAAGCTTCTGGCCCAGGCTGAGCTGGGCTTCCTCTCGGATGGAGAAGACTTTCACAACTTTTGGCAGACATCAGGCTGTGGGCTGGTCAGCCTCCCCGCTACTCCCCGAGCCCCACCGGCGCTGGCCGGTGTGAATACCTGCTTCTCTCGGTGGTAGAGGGAGGCCAGGGTGTAAGGCAGGATCTGCAAGGCTGAGAAGGTGAAGCCGGTGAGGGCGGCCGAGGCCGTCACTACAGCCACGCTGCGGGACAGGCACGTGGCACCGGCAGCCACGGGAAAGGCCACCACACTGGCCAGGTAGACTGCCCGAGTGCCGAAGCGCTGCACCAGCCGGTCCATGACCAGGGAGAAGACCAAGGAGATGGCACACTGCAGGAAGAGTCCCAGGCTGCCCATGCGGATGCCTGGAAAGTAGAGAGGCCGGGTGAGGAGCCTGGGCAATCTGCGGTGAGCTGGGGATGAGGGCCCCCCCCCCCACAGCAATGGGAGTCTAGATTCCTCCACCAGCCCTCATCCAACGTGGCCAGAGGAAATGCTCCATGGAGGATGTACAAGAAGCCTCAGCAGCTGGGCGCTGGTGGCTCACGCCTGTAATCCTAGCTACTCAGGAGGCTGAGATCTGAGGATCGAGGTTCAAAGCCAGCCTGGGCAGGAGAGACCGTGAGACTCCTATCTCCAATAACCACCAGAAAACCGGAAGTGGCGCTGTAGTTCAAGTGGTAGAGCGCTCGCCTTGAGCTGAAGAGCTGAAGGACAGCATCCAGGCCCAGAGTTCAAG